ACGGCGGATCGCGCTGCTCCCGAGAAAACAGGTGGAGAGACAGGCATGCTAGGGTCTGATAGACTACGCGGCGAATGAATGGCACGTCATTCCTTAACACGAAACGGGAAGCTTTAAAATCGAGGAATTTGAGGATACAACATCGTTAGAAACAGGTAGGCAGGTATCGACAACCTCGGAAGATTGGAAATTATGTAAACGAAAAAAAATCACCAGATATTCTCTTAATCATCATTAACCATTACACGAAAGTAAAAGAAAAATATCATTCTACTGCCAAGAAAAGCGATTACTCAGTTTATTTTTCTTTTTTAATAGTTTTCGTCAACAAAGAATATATTCTTGATAATAATCTTAAAATAAACTCATCACAAGTGTTAGAAAATCTCATTATTATGTACTTAAAAGAAGAATTTATTTTCTCTTCAAGAATATTGTAAAGTTGTATCAAAGAAAAATCAAAGTTACTTTACGTCAACTCTTGTAGTAAGCAAACCAAATTTTTGTTTTAGTTTAATATCTTGACTAAAATACTGCACTTACTAAAATTCAGAATATATTCAATTAAATTTAATGCTTGTGGTAAATTTATAATATATTTACGGAAATACAAACTCATGATATATTTAAAATAAATATTATTTATTTGAATACAGTTTTTACATTTTTCTCTGTATAGGGATTATTTTGTTTTTAATAATAATAATAATTGTTGATGTTTCCTGAACGAAAATTAATCGTCGAGAATAAAGGAATTTTTAAAATTAAATTATGTTTCAATGTGGAAAATAAATAACAAGAATCTCTTTCTTTTAATTATTCTGATGTATATAGAAAGTTAAGATTCTAAACAAGCGCGAATACTTCTTATGATACATTATTATAATCGATTTCTTCAATTTTTAAAATTTTATCAATTTCCTTTTTTAATCAATTTCTTTCCTAAATCACATTTCTAATTATAATATAAACAAATAATTTAATCATGTGCCATTAGCATCGACTAATATTAATAAGCTTGACTCTATCTACATCTTGTTGGAGAAGATCGTGAATCTGTTCCCGAACAATGCGATTGCTTCGAGAGATGAGAAAGTAGGGAGGAGAGCGTGCCGGCCAGGATCGGGCAAAGGTAAGAGAGAATGCAAGGAAGAATTGTGGGAAAGGAGAGAAAATTGCAAAACGACATACCGTGCGACCGCACACGCCGAGAGGATAATTCCACGGTGCGGCTTAAAACCGCGCGCAATTTGGCCTCACGCCATCGTTTAAAGTATGTTACGACGAACAAATATCCCTGTCGTTAAAAAGATGGCAGGGAACACGAAATTTACGCGGCAAATTTTGACAAATGCTAAAGCTAATAGTACACAGAAGAAATCCTACTGAATCAAAAAGTAGAATCGATATAGCATTTAAATCTTGGAAAAAAAGGTGTCGAATTAGATTGCTATCTATTGCAATTTTTTTGATATTACTGACATCAATATGTTTAAATTAGAAAATTTGTATTTGTTTATCGTCACAAGGACAGATGGAACTGCACGAAATCTCGTTTGTAATTGTCGACATTACACGTAATTCTTGTTCCTTTCACGCGTGCACGCGATTTTGCTTGCCGAGTGTGTTAATATGTGATTTACACGAGAAGATGGAATTATCGCCGCCGACATCGTCGATACCGCCAGCTCAAGAAAGAGACGAGTCGTTGCGGTTAACGCATGAATACGCATGCCACACGCTGCCACTTTGCGGCCGCAAATCTCTGACGTTTCACGGAATGAGGGAGAGAACGCGGGTATTAAGGCTGAAACGCGCGCGTCTCGTATTTCCCAGAACGAAGAGTCAAAAAAAATTTGAAAAAAATTTTGAGAGCCCACAAATCGGATCGTGATAGGGAACAAAACTTATACGAGTGCGCCTCCTCGCTAAGTATTGTCGCGACACACTTGACACAAGCTTAGAATAAAATATCATGTTACAGTATGCACTTATAACGAGAAGACTCATCATCTTAAATGCACACGACAAACTGCAAATACTATCCAAGTATTAAAAAAAAATCCCCGAAAAAAAGACATATATTTCAAGAGGATTATCTTTGATGCAACTTGATTTCTGGCTTCGAGAAATAAAATACATTAATTTTTTCGATTAAATATTTTTTTAATCACAAAATTATCTCTTTAATTTTTCAACTTCTTTTAAAAAAAAAAAGCACGAAAGAGACGTGAAAAAAAATTAGGAAAAGCGCGAAGAGGAGAAAAGTATGTATGTCCCAAAGAAAGACGGATACGTATCTATATCAAAGAAGCAGAAGAAGAAATAAGAAGTCTGAAATGCCTTCGGGAACGCATTCCTGCCGCGTTCGTACAATGCACCTGCTGCTGCGAATCTGCGGATCTTTTATCGCGATTAAACGAGCGGACGGCGCGTCATTGTCGGCGATAGCGAATAAACGAGCGTCGACAGCCGAAGGAAATTCAAGGCACGTACAACTCGCTTTTCGCTATTTTCCAACTTTATTCGTTCCCCGTAAACGACAAGCGTAACGAAACCCGTCGGTGTGCTTTGGGCATTCTTAAATAATTCGACCTTGAGCCAGAACTAAGGAGTGCCTTTGCCGCAACCTTCGCATAAACGTCATCAGAAGCTCGATCTACAACCGACAACAGAACGTTTCGACGTTTTTTACTTAAAATCGACGTAATAAAAATTCGCGGAATGTCCGATATACACAGAAAAAAATACGTGTCAAATCAAAACTTATATACTTAAATTAATGCGTTCATTCTTTTTTGTATATACGCAACAATTTATAATCTTTTTAGAAGAGTTTAATAATTTTAAATTTCAACAATATTATAGTCTTATTTTAATAATGTAATTATCACCTCAAGAATATATAATCATTTAATTCTACTTTAAGAAAATTATAATCTTTGATTTAAAACTGTTATTTTCTATCTAACATTGTTTCTTTTTTATTTAAAATTATTTTATTATTAAAATTAAATCATAAGAATATATTTTTCTTGTTGAACTTTATAAAATTGCTTCATTCAAGTAAGCAATTATTCAAGCAATTAATTTTATAATCTCATTTCAAAATTTCCATGTTAAAATTAAATATATTTTCAAAACAAGAATGTCTTTTTTCTGTGTATACGATAAAATAATTTTCGTCTTAAGATTGATTTTTTTTTACGATTAACACGTCGTAATAACCTACGTGGTATTCTGAGACCGGAGTTTCTTTTAGAATAAACAAAGCGTCCATTTGTTTATCTGATAATAATGGTGGAAGGACATCACACATATGGCGAGAGATATACGCCTGTTTATTTAATCGAGATAATAGGTCGCATAAGCAATATTTATTATGGTGGAAATGAAACGTTAGAAACACGAATACTTTTACGATAGTGACGTAATGACCTAATCTTGTCCATGACCTAATTTTTTTTTCTGCAAATTATATCCGGCCAAGAACGCAGTTATCTCGGGTGATTCTGCTCAAAGTTCATAGATCAAGATATCGTAGCACGTACTATGATATAAATTGAGAAACTATGTCTAGTTAAGAATTAAGTTAATTTATTAATTTGGCAATCGAGAGATTAATAAGGGATTTTTATGAAGAATTGAATTAACTTTTAATTTCGATTGTAATAGCAATTGTTTTTCTTGAAATTATAAAAATAACATAAGAGAGAGTTAATCCTACAAAACATTCATTTATAATATACGAGAAAAGTTTTTTTCTCCCATCTTGTTATAGTTATTATTTCATCTATACTAATCGCTATAAAACATTATAAAAAATAAATTATTACTATAATTCTACATGCCAGATTGCAAGAAAAAATATAGATAATCAGATTTTTCGGAACAGCTTGGCGATTTAAAAATTTCTTTAAAAAAATCTTTTTTTTTTTACAATCTTTTAAACTGAATTATTTAAGCATGAAAATCAATCATCGCTGATGTAAAATAACATTTCATTTGGATATAATGTTATCTATAACTTTATATCTGAATAAAATCAAGCTTAATAGTTAGTTGGTAGTGGAAAAAAATAAGGCACTTTTAATATAATTTTTTGCCATAATATGAAATATATGAATCTTTTTCTTTAATATGAAAAGAGATGTAATAGAACATAATTTCCTTAATAGAAAATTTTAATTATTTAATAATGTTCTATAAAGTAATCGTGTGTAATCAGTTAAATTAATATAAATCATTCGCGACACATTTATCAATAATTTTGTAAATAATCAAATCGTGTCAAAACATATATATTGCTCGAAATGGTTTTTCTCGAATTTAAAATTAGACAAATGAAGCAGATTATTATTGAACGTTTCGTCTTAATATAATCGCTATGCTAATCTCATTTGAGTGAATTTGTTAAAGTTAAATTCGTCCGCCGCTAAATTTCCTAAAAATCAATCGACGCTAAGAGAAAAAGAGACAGAGATAGAGAGAAAGAAAGAGAGGGAAACCGGCTTTACTGTCTACATAAAAGTACCCGCGCGTACTAACGGAACATTTTTATCATGCCTCGTACGGACCAGTGATATTTTTGATATAATCTAATAAATGAAGCGTATGACAAATTAAATACAACTAAACAAAAGAGCAAGCCTAAGGAAAATTTCTTTTCGCGTATCTATAATACAGAAATATAGTATAAATCTCACCGAAATTGTATATCGGTTTGGTATGTCGAGTGAAGTTCGCCGTAGGACGGAGAGCGAATGAGCGAGCTAGCAAACGAGAGAGAGAGAGAGAGAGAAAAAGAAAAAAAGAGAGAGGCGTCTCTCCAAAGCTTCGAATCTATCCGCGATAATTTAGAGAAAGAAATTGAAAACGTAGAAAAAATGCTTTTAAACAGATATAAAAAAAGTGAAAAAACGAAACAGCGAAAGAGAAGCTCGCTCCTCGGACTCCGTCCCTGATCGGACGAAGCGAAACCAGGCGGGCAGCTAACTCACCTCGTGCCACATTCCGCTGTGGGTTATATCGCCGACGACGACGAATAGTAGTGCGACGATCAACGGGGGTCTCTCCGCCACGTGAATCCCTTTTCCGTAGAAAGGAGAGATCCGATCGGCGGGGACGAACAGGCGGATGACACTTCTCTCGCGTTTTCCTCCCGCGGCACCTGCACCGTGCGCTTTACACGCTGCACTCGCGCACGTCGCTTTTCAAATTTTCAAACCCACACACACACGAGAACATCCATCCACGCACACGCCAAGTTGCGCGCGCACACGTACGCACGTGTGAGAGGATGCCCGGACCAACCACCAACGAGGGCCAGCCAACGGGGCTGCCCGCATACCGACCGCACACGCGCGCGCGCAGACTCGGCAACGGGTTTCTCACGGGGCGAAATGTCAACCGAAACTCGCTCGCGAGAGCGGCAGATGCTGTCCCGGAGCCGGCGCTCGCGTCACGCTGCACGATTACGCGCAGACTGAACCGTCCGCTCGGCCGACCAATACCGACTGACTTCGGACGGGCCGTTCGGCTCGCGCAGACGCGCAGCCCCACCGCTCGGCGCGCGACGGTGGTGGGGGGGAGGAGCGAACCGCGTATCGAGAGAAACGTGAACCATTGCACGGAAATGTTTCATCGTAAAAAATGATATATCGCATAAAATCAGAGTTGTTTATGTAAAATTGACGCGTGTCGAAACATCGAATTCTGTTGCAAGATGATTATGCTATGCTATGGGATTGTCCGATAGCGTCGTATCTCATCAGTGAATAAGAATCAACCATAACTTTATTCTGTAATATATAATTCGCTTTTACAGCAGAAATGTCTTGTTTTTCAGTGAAGTTATAATGAATACACATAAAAGATAATATAATGCGCAATGGATATTTATCGTAATCGTACATCAATCAAAAATATTAAAATTATATAATTCTTCTCTCCCTCAATAAAGATAATTTACAACATATATCGTCTTTTTTTTCTTTTTATCCTTATATTTTAGGACTAACCGATGATTAAGTTGTCTTCCGAGTTCACACATTTTACATAGTCGTGAATGTACGATCTTTATCGCGCGCATATTCTCTATAAACAATCTATGCCGTATGTTTCTCAATTATCACGCTACAAATTGCTAAATTTGTATTACAAGACATATATATATATAACGCTTAATTATAGTAAGTTTTATGCTACGATAGGATTAAACCAACAAAGAGACAGTGCACACCAGTGTATGTGTGAGTTAAAGAAAGCCGTTGTTTTTACCTCTTGATATATGCACGATACCTATAAAACTTACATGGAAAACGTATTATAGAACGAATCGTCAAACCGTGCTCTTCGAGTATAACGCTCAAACATCGTCAATACTCCAAGTTATGAGTCTTGTTTATATGTACAATATATAAAATAATTAAGAAATCCGTGCAAAAAGCATTATACGTTCATTCCAGTTGATTCCAATATTCGTTCGTTACTTTTTTTTTATTTGGAACGTACAAATAACATATTTTCGCTACAATGATTACAAGTATCAGGATATCTGAAAGCAAAAGGAATACACTCTCGATCGATCGATAGTCGAGAAAGCGAGCTCGTTAAATAGCGGCAATCTATATTTTCCATGCAGGGGTTCATGTTCCTAAGAAATAGTCATAAAGTTATACGTAGTAATGTGAATGCAGTCGTGAACATGATCATATTACAATTCTACTCGTAATCTGTTCTTAGGTACTTTTGTAAAGAAATTTACACGGAAAAAATGACATCAACGAAGCTGCAGCCGATTTTCTCGATTCTAAGATTCTCTATTCTAGACTTTCTTTTATCAGCTGTTTTCGTCTAACTGGAGTTTTTTTGCACCGCTATATTATTACTCATATTTGCCATGTAACCACATTAGAGTGAAAAAGGAAGCAAAAAATAATACACTAGTTTTATTTTGAATGTATTTTTATCTATATATTCAGAAAATTGTGAGATATTCCAGAATAGAGGGATATCTCTTCCAATAATCTTAGAATATAAGAAATCGACTATACCTAGAGCACATCAAAGAGGATACATAGATTAAGAACAAAGATTCAGAAAAGTGAACAACTAATTATGTGAAATGACAATAGTAATGGCCGTACCATCGATATTTTTCTATCCGTCTAAAACACAGACAAATCTGAATCTAAATAAGAAAAACTGCAAATTGAAGTAAGGTGAGTAGCGTGTATTCCATCATGATTGAAAAAAGGGAAAGGAGGAAGAGGAGAGGATATAAGTTTATAATTTTCGACAGCCAGTTACCTTATATATCTCTCACATTTATCGTAAGAGATAAATAAGGACAAAATTAAAGGTAATATTGGAATAACAGTATTGCAGATTGGTGGTTAGCTCATGGATAATTGTCCATTAGAGAGTAGTCTCTCAACGGCAGCATTTATGTCTCCGAATGTGGCAATTAATGCTGAAAAAAATAGAGATATAATTAAATGTAAAATGCATTATAATATGTTATATTAAATTATGAAATGTTATATTAAAACACTATGAAAATTAGTATTTTATATAAACATAATACTTGAAATCTAAAATATTATATTGATAAAAAGAAAATGATAGAATATTTGCCTTTCTGTGCAGATCTTTGCATTAATAAATAAAATGAAAACAAATAAAATAGTAAATATAATTTTAATATAATTCTTATATCAATTATTGCAAATATTTATATACATAAACTTTTTTTTATACAAAATTTATATGCAAATATTTATATATACAAAGACTTGTATTGACTCTAACCTTGTAAATTAGCATCTCTATTAAGAAAACCCATAGCTGTAAGTTGCTCTAGTTGTGCTCTGTAACGTTCTTCTGGAGGAGCTACAGGTTGACCATCAACTTCTACACCTTGGTTTAATGCCATTGCAGAAACCTAATATACATAAATATAACGTCATTTGATAGACAAATATATCTAATGCTATATATAAGGCTATATATAAGGAATATAAAGCTGATTATCATCTAAATAATATAATATATTATACATTTTACATTCTTGTTCTTAAAAACAAAAAATATTAATTTACATTCATTTCATTGAAAGTATTACATTACATGTATCTATTAGTACATTCTTTAATTGAATCAATCATTATTCCCAAAATACTTTTTCTTTTTTAAGCAAAATATTAAATATTAATATTAAATCTAAAAGTTAAATATATGTGACAATTTAATATAACGTTATATAAATTTTATTATATAAATTTTAAATGATTTCTTTTACCATCCGTGCCATAAATTGAGAAAACGCATCCTGATGTTGAGGTTGATCCGCATGTTGATTGGCATCCGGTTGATCCGATGGTTGACTGGTCGGTACACTGGGGTTTGTGCCACTTATGTTCGATGTTGTGGTCGCAGGTGGAACCGTGAGACCCATACTAAAACATGCACACACGCGCACTTACAATAATGCGCCAACAACACATTGATTCATGAAATTAGCGACATTAGTGAAAACGAAGAAATTTACCTTCCCACGAGTTCGGGAGCAACGGTGCGCAGTTGCTCCATACCCTGTTGAATCTGCATGATTGCGGCCAAGGCGTCCGGGTTGGTTACGACGTTTTGTATCTGCGGATTTTGCATCTGTTGTATAAAGGCAGGCATCATGGCGCGCATTTGTTCCTGCATCTGCGGATTGCCGCGGAGAAAAGGATTCGCCGCGATCACTCGATTGGCCATCGCCGGATCGGCCGCCATCGCCTCCAGCATAGATCTCGTGTACGGGGCATTCAGCATGTTTCGCATCAACTGCGGATTCTCCATCATCTGAGCCGTGAGGCTCTGCATCCCTGGTGAGTCTAGCAGACTTCTGCTCTGACTCTGCGGCTGTCCTGTACCACTGTCAGTCTGGCTCTGACCCCATGGATTCGGTAGCGGGTCCCGATTCTCTTGGCCCTGTTGTGGATTCTGCGCGTCCTGATTGGAGGAATTACTGTTTTCCACCAAAGCGGCGAAAGGATTACGACCATTCGTCGCTGCCGCCAGCATCGGCTCCTGTATATCGCGGTACATACGACGTAGCGCGCTATAGCCACCCGGTATGCTTTCTAGATTTGATAGAGCTCGATCGTGTGAGCGCATTAATTCTTGCAGCATCGACGGGTTGCGTGCCAATTCCATCGTTTGCCTAGTAAATAATTTTCATATGCAACATTGTGCAATATTGCATAACACTGAATATTCTAAATTCAAATTTTTAAATATAATTTTTAATTGATTCAGCGATTAACACAAAGATATAAATAAAAAAACAGTGCAAATTGAGCAATGTGCAAAATCGAGGAAAACTTGAACAATTTATAACAATTCAATAATGAAATATAAATGTTGAAAAATTTTTTTATATGAAATAGGTATTTGAATCAAAATAGACTTCATACATGCATATTGTATACATTTGTAAATCAAATGATTAAATAGATAAAATAGAAATGCATGTGACTCTTTTCACTATTGTATTCAAATTAATTCTTTGGACTTCAATTTTTCATAGTTACGTATTGCTTACCGTAAAAGTTCAGGGTTGTTCAACATATGGCTGATTTCCGGATTACGTTGCATAAGTTCTTGCATTTGAGGATTAGCAGTAACCAGATTGCGCATATTCTCTGGATCATTCATCAGACTCTGAACCAACGGATTATCGAGCACTTGACGCATTGTTTCAGGATTTGACAATAATTCTCGTTGCATGCGTTGCTGTAAATCGATGAAATTAGCCGATCCCATGCCGAGGGACTCTAGTCCCATCAATCCACCTAAGCTTCCCAAACCAAATGGACTGTAGTTGACATCGGCTACAGCAAAAATATACAAATATCTCTAATATTATCGCAAACGTTCCTTCATATGACATAATATAAAATTATATATATTTACATACATGAAATATGATTAAATATTCTCAATAGATAATCCTACAATTAATCTTCCACCAAATTACTACCTTGTGGCCGCGGAGTCGAATTTGATTCCTGATTCTGCGTGGAGGAAGTGCGCGGCGCCTTGATCACCAAGTGTACCGCCAGGCCGTCCTTGATGTTGTGCGTGCTGAGGGTCTCGTGGTCCTTCATGATCTTGCCGGCGAAGATTAGGCACAACTGATCGGCCTGAGCATTGAACTTCTTCGAGACCGCCTCTTTGAACTGCCGGGGCGTGTCGAGGGAAAAGAAAAAAAAAACAACAAATAGATTAGAGACGATGTATCAAACTAACCCAATCCATTTGACAGCTGATGATGTTTAGCGAGGCGCCACGAGGGCGGCGATACGCCGTCGAATGGCATCGGGAAGAACGACGTTCGTCATCGTCGTCGCACTTACGTCCTTTATCGTCGCATTCTCCTCTATCTCCACGGTCTGCTTCTCCTTCGGTGTTTTCACGTTGATGGTGATCTTCTTTGGACCACCCTCCTGCTGGCCTTCTGCCATCTTGGATCGGTAGATGACTCGTTACTTTCGACGCTCGCGCGATCCTCGGTACGTTGCTCGCTCGCTCGCTCCTTCTCTCTTTCTCTTTCTCTCTCTCTCTCTCTCTCTTTGTCTCTTTCCGTTCTCCTTCTCTCGGTCTCTCTCACTCGGACTCACAACCACGAAATTGCGCACCGTGTAAATATATCTCGGCTACGGACACCCACAGCCCGACGACGATGACACTCCCTCGCGCTCGTCGTACGATCCGAACGTCCGGTGCGCCCGACGCAGCGACGAGGAACTACGTTGAATTTTTTCACCTGCGAGACTCTGTACCCGCGGAACTAGAGGGGCTGTACGGCCGGACTGACATGCACCAATATGTAACGCGTCATTCCGCGCTCGGCCATAACGATAAACACCCGGCTGACAGTGACGCGAGTCGCGCGAGAGAACCGCGATCCCCCGTCTTCGTGCGAGACCAAATTCCGATCGCACGATCGCACCTCCGTGGATCCACGTAAACCGACGACGGATAACACAAGAACCGCTAGGTTATGTCACGCTGCCACTACCGCAACGCAAAAGCACTGGCCGCGCCTGCGCGTATCGACGCCCTCGAGATGATACGCGTCAAACTGACGTTGTGTGTGTACGCCGGATACGTGGTGTACCCTCACTAGTTATACACACAATTGACACGTGACTCATGCCGTGCTACAAATATTTATGTACTTTAAAAAGCGTCTCGAAGCTTCTAGATTCATCCTATCATGTTTCTGATATCATTATCTAACGTAAAAATTATATTTAAAAAATGAAGTAGTTTTTTTAAGAGCGATTTCATAATTTAATCGTGGAATTTTTGATAAATTTGAAATCCTTTTCTTTTTGACAAATAAATGCATAAATGTATATATTTGTTTATTTACTTATTTTTATATGCAATATTATAGGACGATTCCAAAATATATATATAAACATTTTCCTTCTTTATTATCTTTTTATAATTAAACTAACTATAAAAACGCATTGAATGTGAAAATATTTGCTGATAGTTGATAATTTGAATCAAATCTATATATAAGACTATTATAATTTGTCTTTTTTCATATCTACAGAGTTAACACTTATTTCACAAGTAATCCAAAGTAATGTTATGCAAAGAATTTAAATAGTTTCTCGCTTCAATGAACATGAATGCACATTATTTAAATCATGCTTCTTGTTCTTCAATAGCACATTAATTTGCATCTCTGAACAGCTACAATTCTCCAGTCGAATAATAGGGCTGATGAGAACACATTGGTTTCTAATTATTTAAAAACGTTTACTTAAAAATACAATTCCTTTAAACATAAATGGCGATATGAATAGTTAGAAAGAGAAAAAACGTCGTTTTATTACTTAGTTTTCCTGCACGTGACGGAAAAGGACATTCTATCGGCACCGATTTTATAGCGGCACAATTCTGTCAATTTTCCGTTTTTTGTATGCGTGGGTTTCCAACCCGCTTGCCGTGCTTGCCTTCCGATCGGCTGAGAATCGGCTGAGAATAGCAGCAGATGATCACGCACATGTGACTTGTTTGCTCAACCATGGCTTTTAATCGACGATTTCCACTTTGTTTGAAACGACTCTATATGCTCCAGATTAACGCCTATATAAAATAAATGTAGATCAAATCAAATGTTATATTTACCACAAGAATGAATTTCAAAGTTTCCTTTTTTATTTAAAAGAGTTTTATAATAATGGCAATTATAGTTGAAAATTGAAATTGAAAATGTATACAACTTGTTGAAAATATATAAAATATTTTTTTTTCATAGATATTAGATAATTAATTATGTATCATATGTATTAATTAAAACAATAAATATGAATTAAGTTAAAAAAATGTTAGAAATAAAGAAAAAAAAATTAACTAAAATAACTACCTGCACTTTTCGCTAATCCATCAGGACTAAAAGTCAAGGCTTTTCTGTCATCCAGATTACAACCAGTCAAGAGAGTCACAACGGGTGTCTCCCCATCGCCAGTGAAACCAACCTTTGCTTGTTGAGTAAGATAGTGACAACATTCAATTATCTGAAAGAACAACCATGCTTCCTTGTCTTTTGGTCTTGGCCCTTTTATCAATGGGAGTGCTAAACGCTCGTGAGGTCTCTGCGCCCGCAAAAATCTTGAGCCACGTCTTAATTGTGTCTCCAACCATCGCGTTGCTTCTCTCGCATGGGCGCTTACACGTTTCACTTCGTCCAAAGCAGAGACAACTGTAAACAAATAACATCGATACATCAAACAATGATCAATGATGTGTATCGCTAAGTTAAATGAAATATTTTCTTCAACAATAAATTTACTTACCAACTGTAGGAATCACTACTACAAACTTCTTCGCGTATACTAAGCGCTTAAGAGCCGGTGTATATTTGGCTAACGCTTCGTGATCGGGTACGAGATATGGCGACATCAATCGAGATCGTAACTGACTCTCTAAAGCTCGAACTTCGGCCTTTAGCCACAATTTACCCATATGTCTCATAAGCTTTCCTTTCGAATGTTCAGGCCCGAGATTCTTCTCGTTCAGACCAATAACCTTTGGAGCATTCGAGGAACATGGATCTGTCGCTATAAATAATCGCTCGGTCTGATCGTATTGCACACCTGAATTCTCGACAGAACTGAGATGATGTCCAAATTCAATCAGCTTCAATGCTCTCAGAAGCGTTTCCTCTCGCTTATTCATTTTATATTTGCGCAGTATCTGCCAATCGAGAGATTTGTGAGCATCTTCCAGCAGATTCAATCCCCTGAGATCAATATCTTCTGGTAGAGGAACTATTTTCACACATTCTTTTAATTTCTCCATGTTCGATAGTATTGTAAAATCATTGCTTCTTCGTACGAGAGCCTCGGTATCCATGTTGATCAAATTCAATAAAGTTGTAAAACGTTTCAGCAACGTCCTTTTGGCACATATTCTCACAATGTCTGCGTTACTTTGCAGCCAATCGCAACATACTTTAATAGACATAAGTATTTCTTTGTCGATCAATATATTTAAAATGTCGTCTGGTTTTAAGTTCCGCTTCTTTAATTGTGCCGTATAAGAAATAGTATTGTTTATGCCACATAAGCGATTGTTATCCTCCTCGCAAGTGCTACTCGAGCTCGCATTCGTCGTGATCGTTACGACGCTGCTGGAATTCGTTATTGAATCTTTATCACTTATCGTCTTTGAATCTGTTTGCTGATCGGTTGTGTGCTGCTTGCCATTAACTAAATGATCGCCTCCATCGCAATTATCTATTTTATGGGCGACATCACTCACGTGACCATTTATTCCATTCTTCATCGTGTTTTCGGTATTCTGAATATTATTCGTTGGCGATGATTCCTCATCATCGGTATTATCGTCCGATAATACGGCATTTTCTTCGCTCAATGCATCATCCTCTTCCGTCTCGGATACGTCCGAATTGATCTCATCGCTGGACGATACTAACGTTGATTGCTCTATATCACTCGCATCCGAATCGGAACTAGTTCTTCTTTTTCGTCGACGTAGTTTGTTAAGAAGACTTTTTGATTTATCGCGAATCTTTCTGGGATCTTTGTTCACGATTTTATTATTATCTGATAATTTTGTCTTGTTAGTCTCATCTAAATTGAATGCATTATTGTCATTGCTTAGAGCAGAATCTTTTCTCTCGCTATCTCTATTGTTTTCTTGCTCGAGTGATTCCTGACTTCCTTGTGCATTCTTCGTAGAATAAATATCTGCTTTTGCAGTTGCTTCTGTATCAGGCACTGCTATGTTTATGACAATGTTTTGCAGTCTCGTTATTATAAATTCCAGTAATTGCGATAGTATTGCCAAAGTTATAGCAACAACACCCTGAACTTCACTAGATTCTTTGCTTTTTAATCTAGAAATTGACATTAAGCATATTGTCACAATCTTAAACACCATATCATCTGTTAAGTAAAGTGTTGGTCTGTTCTTGCAATATTGAAGATATGTTTCTATACTATCCATATTTTCAAGGCAATTTGTATTATTTGACTCAACTTGTTCCATCGTTAAACAGTTTTCTATGTCAGTTAAAAGATCCTATAGAAAACAAATTAAATTCCTACTTACTAATCTCGAAAAATATTTATATAAAATTATCAAGAGATATCTCACTTTGTAACATTACATACCTGGCATTCCTGATTTATTCTATCAGAATTCGGATTTTCATAATCCCATAAACGTAATAAAGAAAATAATCGCGTCACACAGTGATGGACAGAATTGTTTTCATCTGTACAAAGAGAATAAGTTATTATAGTTCTCTTTAAATTTTCTTCTGCTCCTTCAAATGGCTCAGGACATAAAACACTACAAAATAATCATAATTATAATTGTTACAAAAATCACACACTTACTATTACTATATAAATATTAATATTTACTATTAATATCAACCTTTTCATATAATGATAAGCTGCATCCAATCCATAATTTTTGCTGCCTGCTGTATTACCAAGCTGATTGTAAGGCATACCGATATTTGGATCAATAGCTATAGCCATTTTATAATATCTGTTTGCTATCATTGGATCCCAATTTGAATCTAATTCTAATTTGTACCTGGTCAGGTCTCCAAGCCATACCAAGCTTCGATGGATCAAACGCATAACGCATTGTTTAACTTCCTTGGTATGAGTTTTAAATTGCCCCATCTTAGTTCTTGCCTATTATTTATTTCAATTTTAATATCATTTCATTTATAATTTGTCAATAATATTGTCATATTAAAAAAAAAATTCATACAGATACTTACTCTTTTCGTATAGTTACTTACATATGATGAAACACTTTCATTTTGAATGAATGCAAAATCAACAACACCAGCAAGATCTAGGTCATATTCTATTTGTAGTCTCAGTATCAAATGATGATAATATCCCACACCCACTGCCAAATGAACCGACAATAATGCTTTTTCTGAATCATTCCAGACGTTACCCTGAAACATAATGTTATGAATTAGAAAACTTTCTCATAAAATGTAATACTATATAAAATATATGTGTACAATTTATCTATATATTCTTCATACAACTAATACTATACTTTTATATGTATCATTATTAATTTCATTTTTTAATATATTAGATTATTAATATTACCTTTCTTAATTTTTTGGCTGTATAAACAACATCATAGAAGGCTCTCCTCCACAGTGTTTCATCTATTTTATGCACATTTCCAACAGGATCTTTCAATAGCAATCTCTCGCAGTAATCCTTAAGTCTCACACGTAACACTTCTATCGATGGGACAAATATATCGCTTACTGTCAGAGCACGATTTCTCTGTTCATCCAACTTCTTGACAATCTCTGTCACGCTCCTTGCAAATAAAATATACACTATTTTATTAAAGACTTAATTAACATGTTTGTGTAGAAATCACGCATAGAAATCATTATCAAAGATACATGCTTAGCTGTGCGAGAGATTTTCCTTTTACATATTTATCTTTATTATTATTATATAACGTTGAGAAAGAGATGGCACAAAAATGTACAAGCTATTTTTCTAAGAATAGATAAATCGTATCTAGTAGAGGGCGCGAAACGCACAAGGTTCGAGAAACGTGCGAATGATAAGAAACAAGCATGGCGAGCATAGGAGGTGGGTTAGGTTTGCGTGTAAAACTTTTTTTTTACTTCATCACCTTCGTCGCCCTTCCAGGACGACGTTACATTTACGCGTAAATATTTACACTTGCAGCGCGATGAAATCATCTTCAGAAGGAAATATTACTTTCGCGAGAGAAGAATAGAGAGAAAATGGAGACAGGGTGACATCATTATCGCTTACTTGTGCAGACGTCTCGTGACTTCGAGGCAGTCCGTTGTTCGGGCCTCCACCGTGGCGTTACACAATTTCCTCATTTTGCGCGACTCATGACCCATGTATCGGCCGACTCGTCCTTACTCATTTCCCCGCGGTCTCCTGACACGCGCATCTCCTTCGCACGCTGAGAAATTCGCCCGACATTCGCCCGTCGTCGCTGCTGCTCGCTTAGCTGCGCGGCTGTCCCCAGCTGTGTCTGCTATAAAATGCTCACTTCCTCTCCTCCTTCCGCGGCACAGTGAGCGATAATGATGTCAGAGTCAGAGATGCCGAAGTGATCTTTCCCACCACTCGGACTCGGCTGTCCTTCCAACCACTCGAGCGTGCTCCATTTGACGTTTCGTAGCGTTTGATTGACCAATCAGAGTGAAGAAATAAGAGCGCGTATTTTCTGCTTACGTTGCAAATTGGATAAGAGCGATCCGGGATCAAAGCAAGATCCGTCAAAGGATGCACACCGGGGAGCCGTATCTAGATATTCGTATATCACACATGACGTAGAATTTACGTTTGAGAATTTTGAACGTTCCTAGTTATGAAAGGATAAACGATTATCAAAGGTGATAAGGACCAATTTGACTTGGATGCAGCATTCTTTTTTCTTGTAAAATCTGTGTAAAATCAGTATTGTAAAAAGGAAACAAGTGAATCAGGTATATTATAAAATTTTTATTTATAAAATTACATTTAAAAGTAAATTAATGGTTGATTTCTATCAGTTTTAAAGAATTTTAGAGATGGAAAATATTGAAATAAAAGCAAAAATTCACGATATTGATCGTGTTATTTCAAAAGCTAAAGAGTTGAGCAATAATGATGGAAAAATAATAAAGCAGCATGATGTTTTCTTTAATGCAACAAAATCAAGATTAAAGTTACGAAAATTTGAGGTAAGCGTATTATCTAATTTCTTATTTATATTTACTATCAGCATATAAAAATGCATATTTTAATAATTGGAACATATTTTTCATAAGATGATTGTATAATATACATTCATGTACTTGTACATAATATTTAAGAATATATGTTTTTAAAATAAAGTTATATTGCATTGCTATGTTATTCTCTTTATACAAATTTTTGTTTTCCGATATATAGGATGGTACTGCACAATTAATTTCTTATGCACGACCCAATGTAATAGGACCAAAAGTATCTGTTTACGATAAAGCATCCATATATGCAGATACTGTAGACTTAATCGAACATATTTTATCTGATTCCATTGGTGTGATGGGAGTTGTAAAAAAGACAAGACATCTATACATGGTTGATCGAACACGAGTACACATTGATAATGTTGATGATTTGGGCAATTTTATAGAATTGGAGGTTTGCGAGTCTTTCTATTGTAAAGCTTTGGCAGTAAATATAAATAGTTTTAATGATATGATATATTAATTCAGGTAATGATGCGATCAGACAATAAGAATATAGTAGATTGCGACCGGGAAACCGCAGAAAAGATTGCTACTGATCTTATGCAAGCATTGTCCATAAAAGAAGAAGATTTAATTGCAGAAGCTTATATAGATTTACTCAATCGCAAAAACAACTTGAATATGGATTCAGCACAGATGTGAAATAATGATTCATTGTCTCTGAAAAATGTAAAAAAATGTTTTTCTATTTTGTAAAATTTAATCATAATAATTTTTATGAAATCTTTTTTTGAAAACAATATAAAATTAAAAGATTGTCGTTGACAGGCGTGACGTAGGATATTATGCATTAAGCTGCTGATTGGCTGTTGTAAAAAATCTGGAACCTAGAAATTCTCTATTTGATAACCAATCGAAATATCGCTTTGGAACCCTAGAAATTCTCTATTTGATAACCAATCGAAATATCCCTTTGGAACCCTAGAAATTCTCTATTTGATAACCAATCGAAATATCCCTTTGTCGTATCAATGCAACATTGCCCTTATGTGACTTTCATTACATTAATATAAGCAGAGAGAAAACTCTCTGATATGAGAGCGTAATCATACCGGGTAGTGTCAATATTGTTGTTAATCTGATATTGTCAATCTGATTTTACAAATATATCAAAATGTCTTACATGCTATCGCATTTGGAAAATGGCTATCAAGTTGATCAAGCCATTCTATCAGAAGAAGATAGAGTTGTGGTGAGTTTTCCAATATGATACTTAATTCTTCAATTTCGAATTACTGCGACAAAATTATTATCCCATGTTGTTTTTATGGTTGTAAATAATATTTTTTACAGGTTATTCGCTTCGGACATGATTGGGATCCGATGTGTATGAAAATGGATGAAGTGCTCTATAATATTGCAGAGAAAGTTAAGAACTTTGCCGTTATTTACTTGGTCGACATTACGAAAGTACCAGATTTTAATAAAATGTATGTATGAATTTATCTGTATGAAATTTATTTTGAATCAACAATCATAATTAAAGTTGGATTAACTAATTTTTTTAAATTAAAGAGATAAATTCATATAAAGAGAAATTAAATTAGCTAATTAATGTTAGTCTAAATAGAGATTGCAATAATAATAATAATTATTATTATTATACAATAAGATATATGATAAATGATACAATTTTATATTTTTTATAGGTACGAACTTTACGACCCATGTACAGTAATGTTTTTCTTCAGGAACAAACATATTATGATAGATTTAGGCACTGGAAACAATAATAAAATAAATTGGACATTAGAAGATAAACAAGAAATGATTGATATTATTGAGACTGTTTATCGAGGTGCTAGAAAAGGTCGAGGTTTAGTAGTTTCACCTAAAGATTATTCTACTAAGTATCGATATTAATTTATTTAGGAAATACATTAATATTATATTTATTTGACAAAAATAAAAAATTTTTATAAGTTTTGAAAATTTTATGAATTTCATTGAATAAACAATACACATTCTGCTGTAATTATATGTTGCGCATATCTTAAATAAATATAAGTATGAATGCATGTATAAAATGTACGAGTCAAGCTAATAGAGGCATATATACAATTCTTATAGATTACATGTCCTAAATGCAATCTTTTTGTTTCTATTATTTAGTTGTTTTTCAATTCTAGTTAGACTAGAGATTATTTAAGATAGCTGATAATAATGCTGGTAAGCATTAAATACAGTATCACTTCATATATTTTAATGTTATATACATTGTATATAGGAATGTTTATACAGAATTGTGATTATTTGTAAAGAATATATACAGTAACATAATTCTATTTTAAAAGAGTAAATTAATTCTATTTTAAAAGTATTTTTTGTCAACATATTTATTTACATATAATTATAGTTTATACTCTGATCAAATATCTATGTATTCTCTGATTATAATTTAACATGTAAATTATATAATTCAATCATCTCTTTCACACGTCTGTAAAAAAATATAGATTTCATAAATCACTGTTGCGAAGGAAATATAATGCACAATTCATGCAATATAATATAGATTTCAACAAAATGATAGGAGGCTTACTGTTCATTGCATATTGTGTACTATCGTCAAGTGCATCTTGAGCTGATCTCGAACAAATTAATAATGGAAAAGTCTCCTGTTTTAAACTTTCTCTACTTAATTCATATGATGAATTGTTCAGTGATTTATAAATGACACAATCCAAAGTTCGGGATTTTCCTAAAGATAGCATTTGTCAACACAATATTTTTACAAGCAAAAGAATTTTGATATATAATCTGTCCTACTGACCTACAGGAATGTGATGGGTTTTTACATTTATAGAACCCATTGATTTGTATTGTCTCAAACCTTAAAGCAAAATTACACGGAATGAAATCTTTGACATGATAAAAATGAGCTTATTTACAACAAATGGTATTGAATAGAGTTGTATTCCTTTTTTCCGCCTTTTTAATATAATATATAACAGTTTAGATTCGTAAGATTTTGTTCCAATCTTACCACTATTTATGTTTCTTCTTTGGTATTTTGTTGACCAAGGAAAGAGATTGTTGATTGATTCCAGAGACTCCATAGATATGGAGCTATTATGTTTTTTTACTAGAACAAATAAACATGCACAATTTTAATTGCGCATTATATTAAATGATAATAGAAAAAAATATAAATAGTCTTGCAATATAGAATCTTAATTCACAAAAAAGCCTATTTTATATTGAATAGATTTTTCTAGGAAAACAAGATTTTGCTGTGGTATTGCCAAATATATCGCTGAATTAAAATATAATTTATTTGTCCCATGTTACATAAATGTATGCAAATAACAAAAGTGAATAGTGCGCTACAAAGTTATTTTCAGGTCACATGCAGAAAAGCAATAAGCATATAAGCGTGTCAATCTAAGAAAATATTATTAATTAAGAGAATAAAGTGGAGAAGAAATAAAACTAATAGATAATATGATAAATGAATAAATTAAGCGAAACAATTCAGATGAAAGCAAAGTGAAGAAAGATGGCATGATCAAAGCATTTCTGCCTACCTCATCATGTGTTAGAGTATAGTTGAGGAAGAGACTCTCATTCTGTAGTACAAAATAGAGTTTAATTATTAGATAGTTATAGATAGATTACTACCATGCTTTCTTCGATATTACTACAAAGTAATATTTAATTTATTTTACAAAAAATACAAAATATATTACGTACATATTTCAAGATTGTTGATTAGATTTGCATCTAAATTCGTTGTATCTTTGATCTTAGAGATATTTTCGTACACTGGATCAACAGGTGGTGGTTTATCTACAAGAATGCAGAATCACGTGAATTTTTATTATTCTTAATTGATAAATATATATTATATATGAGGATAATATAAAGGATACTTACAGGTTTTTAAGAAATAGGGATTTTTGAGTACTTGTTTTATACAATTATATATATAAGCATATTGACTCTGAAAATACGAAAAAATATATATTCTATATTATATAAAATTTATAGGAATATTAATAAATATATCACACATACAGAATTAACAAAAAATAGATAATGTGACTATACAAAATTTATATATATGAATAAGGTTTAATGTTTTCTTAGCAAGAATGTCGATTTTATAACTTTTTAAATTTTAATATTTAGCTTAGAAACTATTATACTGATGCGATTTACTCACTTCTCTTTGGACCATATTTATTCTATGATGTCGCAGTCTGTACACAGTTCCGAAGACGTCTAACTTTCTATTATCTCTAAGATGTTGCAAGAGAATATCTATCGCTATTAATGTTCCTGTCCTACCGATGCCTGCACTGTAAAATAAAATAATATTTTTCTATTATTAAATATAATATAACAATTTTAATTAATTAAGAAAAACCAGCATTAATCCATTAATTAAAGCAATAATTTATAAAATCGATCATCGGAATTGAATTTGCTGATTTATGATGTTTTAATTATATTTATTTATACCTGCAGTGAACGACAATAAAATCTTTACTGGCACTAATATTGCGACGCATAATTTGACAGAAATTAATCATTGCGTCAAAGTCTTCCGGAACGTCGTGATCAGGCCAATCTTTAAAGTGCAATTGAGTGATATTTCTTTTTTTATTCTCCTGTAATTTTATTATTCATGTTATATATACTCTTTGCATCTAAAGATTGTTTCTGTTGTAAATATTTTATTCGTGCAAAAACACCGAACCTTTTGTAGTACAAGTGTTCTTTGGATATGTGTCCTAAAATCGAATTCGCTTGTACATCGTATTGTCATGTTTTCATATCGGAAGGTTTCCTTAATAATTGGATAATATTGATGACATTTTTCCTGAAAAAAGGAGATCAGTAGGGGATGAAAATAATATTGTGTGAATTATATCAACAATCGAAGAATTTACTTTGCCCTTCTCGACCAATTGTGTTAACATAACTATAACACTAATATTATATTGATCGATCATTCTCCAAAAATCATAAGTAGTTTCCTCCTTTGGACCCTGACAAGCTATGTATTCGTCCTCTCCCGTGTATCCCTAAAATATACAATGTAATACTAATTACATAAATATTTACAAATTTAAAATATTTAATTTTGATTTAAAATTCTTTCTTTCTTTTTAATTTATGAAATTAATATTTGATAATGTTTAGAAAAAAAAATTTCTTCAGTTTTCCTTCACTTGATAAGAAAGATTGTTACTCGCACACCATGTGTATATACATCATATCAAATGCTTACCCTAATAAATGATGCGTTGATATAATCTGTGTTAGGATCGTTATCTATCACTTCCAGCTTTACTCTTGAGAAATCATCTGAAAGTATGAATCACGTATATATCCAAGTATGTGTATATGAGTATACATGTATGCGTATGCGCATATATAGAAATAGAGATAAGAGTATTCGTACAGGGTAAAATGTCAGAGTAGCGATTTTTCTTTCGATTCGCCTGCAAACAGGCGGTATTCGTGGGCATCTGCAAATCGACGCTGAGAGTTTGAAGCAGTCGAAATTCATTGCTCAATTTCCCAGGATTATCGACCAATTGTTGACAATGGCTAACGAATTTCTTTCTGGTGAACGGGGCGGGTACAGGCGAACCGGGCATGTCAGAGTGCAAGAATCTTCGCAACACTCTGAAATAGCAGAAAGATTATGTGGACATTTGTTTTATCTATTATTTTTATATTTTATTTTTATATTTTATTTGTATCTATTATATAATTTATATTTTATATAAAACGTATAAACTAATAAAATATTACGTTAATATATTTTATTGTATATACGGTAAATGCGTAAAAAATAATCAATATAAAATACACGGAGATTTATTTATACACGTAATATAAAATAATAAAATATATAAATAAACGCACGCGCATGAAACAAAAGAGTTTATAAAAGAATAATCACTGAATGGGATCAACGTCTTCGTTAAGCTTCAACGAAGGTCGTCGAAGCAATGAAGAACGTTGCAGATGCGCAATAGCATTCGTATATTTTATATATGCATATCTTTTCTTGTTGTAGGTAGACACTACCGGTAGCGGTTCATTCATAGTAGGGGAACAATAAAAAACTTACGCAATAAGCATACGCACTTGGCTAGAAACGAATATACCGACTCGATTTTCCAAAAGGTCGAAAGAGTCATAGCCGAATTCCCCGCGGGGAATTTTTTATAGCGGACTTTTTGCTTACGACACAGTCTCTATTGTATTCACTCGCATCTCTTTTTCGCGCGTTTAAAAATATCCATGTGATAAAAATACTCGATTCGAAGTACGAACTCGCGATAGTTCGCGATAGACACCTCGTCATGCACTGAGCCGACAATACGTTGTATATCTTAGCGTGCCTATGATAGACCTGTGTATGTATCGAGCGACCTTGCTCATGCTTTACAGCTATATAGCTCTCTTCTGAGTCATGGAATAAATATTGATCATTGTTCATAACGTGTACCTGTCCGGTGTTTCAAGCTTATCATGTGTCATATCATCGCGATGGGATTTTAATTGGTCCGAAAATAATACCGATCCATTATTGTAATTTGAAATTTTCGATTACAAAAATGATACTTTATCTTACTTCATTACTAAAAAAAGAGTTTTCCGATAACGATACTCGAGATGCATGGATCGAAAACATCGCGTTTAATCGAGATAAACAAGTTAATTATCTTTATTACTATACGTGTTAGTGATTATTTATGTCTCTTCTAGTATATTAAAGATCGATTATCTTCTAGTATATCAAAGTAGTACAATTGTAACTTACATATACGGTGAGCATTTTCGCACGAGCAACATCATCGTTACCAGTATTCCGACGAAAAGAATACCAAAAACGGCGCCGATCACAAGAGCAACATTCAGCTCTGCATCTAATATTGCAAAAAAATGAAGTAGATACTTTGTTATATAACACATTTATACGTTAGCGAGATTAACCATCCGCACTTTGCGTGAAGATGGCAAGGTAATACTTACTTGTTTTTATCTTAAACACATCGGAATCGGTGTAACCACCATAAGTAAACGCTCTCATTCTAACATGATACCACGTATCTGGCTTGAGAGGTCCATTGCAATACATTTGTTTAACCGTCTTGGACGAGACCTCCTTGCAGTTGGTGTCCTCTCCGATCGTATATTTGACAGCTTTTATGTGTCCGTAATCAACGATGTCGCTCGCTGAACGGAAAAGTTATAGATATTTAATGATACACGCGATACGTTCAGATTTTTTTCACTACTCCGTAAACTGTGCATATATGTATTATCCCATATCCATCTATATAAACATATCACCTACGATAAGGATCCCATTGTGGCCGTGTCGCTTGATACGTTATGGAGAAATTCATCATCATTGCTTCTTCCCAAGAAGATACATTAGGCCAGAACTTATTCTTCATATCAAATCTCGTGTTTGATTGAACATTATTGTATCCCTCCTGTGATACCATAATGGCGTAATATTTAATATCGCCGTTGGTATCGAGGAATAGGGGAAGCAAGATAGCAGCCGTAGTTGTAGATCTACGTGCCTTGTATGGATCTATAGTAATTAATTTAATATATTCTTTGTCAGGTTGCGGTGGTACTAAAACATAAAAAGGACCTTTTAAATTATAGAATTGATTATGAGTAAAGAAGATACAAATACTTCTAAATCTTATGCGATACCGATACAATAAAAGATAAATACAATGATATAATAAAAAATGGAAAATCAGTCTGAATTATATATTCGGAAATATATTAATACATACTGCCAGCAGGATACAACTTGCTTTCACTCATTGAGTTTGGCTTGAGAGTATCGACGCCCTTAACTTTGGTGGATATCGTAAAAGTATAATTGTACTCCCCTTTCAATTCGTTGAGATTTATCGAGCACATATTATTGTTGCAAATATCTTCTATGCATTCATATTTTTTATAAATAGAATGGGATGGATATTTCTCCCTAGTACCGTAAACCGACACATTGAAGAATTCAAATTCACCGTTCAAAGAACAGGGTAGGCCCCATGTTACAAACGTATCCAACACATTATTGTTATTCGGATTTTCTTTAATAATAATGGACGAGGAATTAAATTTCGAGATTGCTTCTGGAACTGAATACAATCATACATAACACTTAATGTAATACTTAAAAGAAAAGCAAGGAAAAGATAAAAAAAGTATTTTTGAAATTATTAAATGCCTTCTATACACAATTGCATAAATATATTACTGATAAAATCAATTTATCAACAAGTGCTTATTTATCTCGATTATTTCTGTTACTTGTATCGAAATTTTAAATTTATACTAAAAAGGTTTTAATTTTATATATTAAAATGGTAGACATAAAATATTAGATATGCATAAAAATAGCTTAATATTTTAAATAATAATTTTTTGTTATAACGAAATGAAAAGATGAAAATATAATATATACCCATGCTATTGGTTGTAATATTTTGAGTATTGCCATGCTCGCTCCATCCCGCTCCTGTTCTCGCTCTCATTTTTACGGCATACATTGTGTATGCTTTTGCCTCGAGATAAGTATAATCAAATATGCTTCCGCTTACGTTATATTTTATGGAGGTCATCGGTTCGCGAACACACCAATTTGGAATCGGATATTGCACTGTCCACGTAATTGTCATCTCAAATTCTTCTAAATTACCAGGCAAATTTTCCGGTGGATACCAAATCAAAGTGAATTGCGAGTCCGTAATGTTATCGAACATAAATTTAGGAGGAGATGGCACTAAAATTATAATTTGAAGTTATACATTATTATTACTAAAAATCACATATTATGTAACTAATTATAATTAAGCTGAACTATTATTAATGATGAGAATAAACGATGAGAATACATATACTCACCAGTTTCCAATGTCGTAACATTGATCCCGTCGCTTAATTCACTGTATCCCGCGATATTAGCGGTTTGTGCTCTGCAAGTATAACTTGTAAAAGGACTCAAATTTTCCACCGTCGTATTTATGACGACAATGGGAGTTGCAGCTACATCTGGATCGATTGACGTTATATCATAACCATCGGTAAGTTCGTAGCCTCTTCCATCGCTGCCTGTTACATTACATATAGTTATTATGTTTTGCAACGTACATTGATTGTTCTCTTTTTCGATCATCCAGATCATCGTTATGTTATTCACGTGTATAATCGGTAAGCCTGGAATGTGCGGCTGTGGTGGATTTGTTTCTAAAATATTGAAAATAATTTCAAAATTATTTTAAAAAATCGATCTTTATATTGAATAAAACACACTGTTAGAATTTAGATAATATTCAGCATAAAATATACAAAGTATATAATATACACATATAAAATATACACATATAAAATAAACAGATCTCATGAAAAAAAATTTTCTTACTGGATTCAAGTGTAGTACCACTTTTACTTGCTGCTGTCCCATTAATATCATCTTCGTTTACAGTATTGATAAACACTTGATATGTCGTACAAGCGTTTAAATTTTCAATTTGTATGTTCGTTTTCGTGATATTCTCCTGAAAATTGAATTTATTCGGATCTATAGTTACGTGATAATGCTTCAAGCAGAGTATAGATTTCGGTGGTTTCCACTTGACGAGCAGTGAAAAATTTTTAGGTATTATCTGTAAATCTTGCGGCTCTAACAACTCTGCAAATTAATAAAATATTAAATTTGTTAAAAGTCCAGCTGTCCTGCAATTCACAGAAAGTAAATATGTAAAATATTATATTAGTATAATTTTAATTCAAGACTTATTTATATTAAGATATCGAATGTTTAAGCTTAAAAAGCATATTTTTCCGAAATTAATTTTGTTAAAAAAATATTAATTTATGCAAACTTTTCATAAGGGGAACAATAGGCTAACTTACGCGGTGAAGTGGTTTTTGCGATCACGTTTACACCGGCAGATTGTATGGTTTGTGCTACCGTTTTGACAGTAAAGTAATATTGCGTGCACGGATCAAGATCATTAACGGTGTAATTCGTGGCGAGGCTTGTAATATTCTTACAAGATTTTTTATCGCACTGTGTAATCGAATAATTGGATATGCAGTTTTTGTATACTTCGGGCGGTTGCCAAGATAATTGAACAGTATTAACGCTGACGTTCTGCACGCTTAGATAGCGTACATCTCCGATTTCGGAAACTGAAAAAAAGGAGAAATTAATATATCAAGAATATTAATTAATTTTTTAACTTGAATTTTAATGGTTATATTAAATATACAAGCTGCGATTGTAGACCTACTATCGTGATCTGTTGTTTCTGATAGAGTGATTCCCTCAGATACCCAAGAGCTTGTAATAATTGCTACGTTAAACGTGTACAATGTACATGGATCAAGATCAGTGGCATTATGCCATGTAACAGTTTCATTTGTCTCCTTGCAGTTTTTGCTCATCTCATCACATCTCTTGATCCGATATATTATCGCAATGTTCATGTTATTGGTGCACGGAGATTCCCATGAGAGAGCGATCCATTCTACATTTTTAGCGTTTACTTTCAAATCAACTACTTCCCTTGTATCTACTAAAGACAAAATTATACAAGATATAAATAAGCAAGACGCCTTATGATAAAATGTTTTACGTAATATAATTAAATAATTGTTAATGATTTTTTGAAAAATTAAGAAAATTTTTTTTTCTCTATTATATATGATTGCATTATTAAATTAATAATAAAAGATTATAAAAAAAGATTATTGTTATGCTAATTGTCATATTTTCTTTCTTTTGAAACTTTATTGTTTAGCAATTATTTTGTACGGTTTATCATGAAAAAGTATGATAATTAATATAATATAATATATATTATATATTAATATAATATAAAATGTGCAGAATATCTCAAAAATGTATAACAATTCAAATAAAATATTTCCATTATCTATCAATATTTAAATTTATTAAGATTCTTTCTCTATTAAAATCTTTTCTATTAATATTTTTTGATGTTTCTGATTTTTAGTGTTTTTAATCATTAATATATATATGTTAATTAATGTTATATTTTATAAAAAATTCTCTAATTTCTGAAATATTCAATTCTTATATTAATAATTTCTGAAGATTGCTTTACCGCTTGCATTTACTGGCCACGTAGGATTGCAGATCGTATTATCTGTAGGAGTTACATCGGGTATGACAGTAGTAGGAGTAGTAAACAGTAGTTTCGATCGTGTAGTTTTATCGATAGTTGAAGACGATGAAGAATCATCAGTGTCTAGCTGAGAATTAGTTGTCAGAAATTCGGTGGTGAATTCAGAGACAGTTGCAACGTTAAGTTCATAATTCATGATCTTTGTGACACTTTCCATAAACTCAGAGTTGTCACTTGCAAAATTCGCAATATTGTTCGCTGATTCAGTATCGTAATTTATAAGGTTTTTCGTCAATCCAGAATCATATTTCGATTCGAAGGTCGACATCGTTATCTCTTCCGACATAGATGCATCATCGCCGCAAAATACGCAGGGAGCGACAATGAATAATACCAAGAATTTTTCAAGGGTCATATTCTATCAAATGCTGCAAGTAGAAAAAAAATCGATTACTAACGGAAAATTACTGATCTTTTCTTATCTCTTGATCGTTGATAAAAATAAATTGATATATATATATATATATTATACGCATGTGAAACTTTTTTTATATTATTAAAATATGTAATATATTTTGCAACAACTAATCTGCCGCATATATTAAATTATTATTTATCTTAATATAACATAAAAAAGTATTATATGTTATATTTATAGTATATATGTAATATATTTTTATCAAACCAAGATATGAAAGAATCAATAATTCTGTCAAATGATCAATAAAAAATGTTTCCTTCTTTATTATATCTTCATTATTGTTTATGGAAGTTATAAAAAGTTTTTCTCTTTCTTGCTCTTTTTGAACGTTTACATTACAATTATTTTAGATAAAAGATACATTTTTTAAATAATAAAAATTAATATTCTCTCAATTTATTTTTATATAATTCTAGATAATAATTTTTTTTCTTATGAGAGTTGCAACACAATATTTTAAGCGAATGTCATCGTTAATGCGAAAACTAGATTCCCATTAAAATATAACACAGAGCGGAAATGATTCGAAAAATTTGATGATTTACAGCGGTCATATCTATTTCCTTTTGCGTCTGTCGAAACAGGATTACATATGCGTGATCATTCAAGAATGCGATAAAATATTTTTCTCTTAAAAATTTAATTTTTTGTTCTCCACACATATATCTATATCTACGAGTTAATATATTTATTTCTATTTCAATAAAATTTGAATTCTATTTATTTTTATTTCCATAAAATTTGAATTTTACTAATGAAACATGGAATATTGAAAATTGGAAAATAAACGATTTACTTCGATATTTTCAAGAGGGAAGAATCAAATTGATTGAAAAATCTATCATTACGCGTTGATACAATGCGAAATAGTCTCATTATTAATGTATCATATATTATACATTAATGTTTCATTATTATCATTAATTCAGAAATTATCACTGAAACTCCATAAAGCACTATATTCTTCCAGTGTCGATTGATATGAGCGTTTTTACAACTTGGATTAAGAAGCACTCGCGCACTGTCGATCGCGAAAAGATAATTTATGCACACGTTATCATCGGTCTCTGTGGATCTTTCTCGGTGATATTATACAAAAAACATTAAAGTAACTCTCTCGTCGTCGTTGTTGACGCTTTCGATAATCATTGCCCAACTGCGCTCGTTGACAGCCTTCCGCTCGGTTGGTTGCTTGTCTCCGCTCTGGTAGTTGATATCACTGATAAAGGGCTGGAGTCCACTCTCGTCCGAGAGTGCACTGTTTTGCGATCACTTTATTAATCAAATACAAGCGCCGGTCGTCCATCCGATCTCTCGTGACATATTCAATTTTTTTTTCAAGTTCTTTACCATCTCCACGAACAATGGGAGGATAACAGTTACAATAGCGATTTTTGCAATTAATTTCCCTTATCAATATTTTAACTGATTCCGCGAATTTTTAGCCTCACAATCGTACATTTTTTTTTATTTGAAAAGCAGGAGAATGCTATTTTTTCGGAGCATCGATTATCTTTTGGTTGACAAAGCTTGGGTTTTTAAAAATCATTGTATCTAAAAATTGATTTTATTGCATCTCACATTGATAATTCCAATTTCAAGAAATTTTAAAGTCCTCTGCATTTTAATTAATATTTTGTAAATTATTTATTTAATCGTAAATATTTTGCGAACACACTTTAATTCGCGGACACACTAATCAATTCGGCAAATTTGATAACTCATCTGATCCTCTCACTTGAGAAAATGATCAATAGGCAATTTTAATGACTCAATGATTCCAAATGATTGATGATCAATTGCTGATTAGAAAATATTCTCACATTGATAATGCAAACACATTGATTGTGATTATTTTCGTTTTGATTCGAAATATAATTAGACAAGTAGTATGAAAGTTATTTATACTTATCACATTATATATACATATATATGAAAAGATACAATTTTATCGGAAATAAAAACTAGATCTTTGTAAAATATATCAGTAAATCATTTTTACTAAGAAAAAAAGAGAATGTGTATATGTTATACCATATCATATCGTATCGCTTGTATTTATCAATTAAATTTATTTTCACTCGCTACGTTTTTATTATTATCTCGTTATCAATTACACGTTTCGATATGTTCCTCGAATAATAAAATAATTTGTGTGACGACTGCCACATAAAATTTTAAGGGTAGAAAGCAACAATAACATTAAAAGAGATCGTCGCTTATATTCTTTACATATAATAAATATTATATAATTCGTAATCTATTGATAACAAAACCTGGAATAAAAATTTGATTAAGATAAAGTTTGATTGAAAAATAAATTTTTGTTATCTACTTGTAAAACAGAACAATTTTTTATTTCTAAGTGCTTATAATTTGAATCAATATTTTAATAGCCATCTATATAGAAAATTTTGTAATTTCTCTATATTTAAATAAAATAAATCCTTAAAATTTTATTCAATTATCAATTATCCTATATTCATTTATTTTATTCAAACATATATAAATAAAAATTGTATAAGCCTTAAAACAATTTTACATCAAGTTTTCAAAAGCGACTATTCCATTATTTTTATTCTCAAGAACAAACTCAAAATATGTCTACTCACACATCTCAAACCTGAGTCCTGAATATTTTACTGTATGTATTCAAATTCCCACATGGATCATAACAAGGGGAACGGCGCACTGATCAGAAATCAAGAAAGACTGCTAAACGTGTGTAATCGGTACGAAAAATTCGCAAGAATTACACATGTGAAAAAGCGCGAAGAGGGAGTAGAACCGCTAAATGCTAGAGTTAACAGTTCCGCTGGTATCTGCTTACGAAGTAAAACTCGAAACTATATACTTCTTCAAAGCGCAGCGACCGCCACTGGACTGCTCCCACAAAGATCGTTGGAAATAGCATGGCCTATGGTATGCCTATAGTATGCCTCATGTCTATGGGGGTCTCTCTCAGAAGGACCCACGCACACATATACATATATACGATCTTCATGAGAGCATAGGTCCTTAAAGCATCCGGATCCAAGATCCGGCCATTTCTTTTTTCGAACCTGTACTTTTTTTTATAATTCTTTGTCTATAATACAGGTATTATTCAAAAATTTAAGAAATACACTGAATATTGCTAGGTGAAAACGCAAATAATACAAATAATAGAAAAATAGAATAATACAAGCGCAATTAATACAAATAAAAAAATATTTTAAATTATTCACTAATATGTTGTAGAGTATTTTTAATGTAGCAAGATCATTTTCAGATTCACACAAGATTTCTCACTTCTGATATCAATTTATCAGTGAAAATTCAAAAGCTTTATATAGATTAATGCATATTTAATATCAATATTATATTATTCTATACATGTATGTTTATACAATTGCACATTTTTAAAATGTTAAAATAAAATAGTTATTGAAAAATGTTCTCTCTTTTCTGATCGTTATTTCATAAACAATAACAAACATATACATATGTTCTCTCTGCGAAAAAGTAGAACATATCATGATAAACATTAATCTCTTCGACGAATTTCTTACATCAATAACTTTACTGTGCAATGAATATGTATAGATATATATTGTATTAAAATTCTAAGAATTTTTATCAAAATTAGCATCGCATTTCAAACGTCGGAAAGTAGCTCTTTCTCGCAAATATGATGAGATATGTCATAGAGGAAGAAGGATGAATGTATCGCAACTTTTTTTTCTTTTTTATTCCAACGAATTTACATTCGACATGTATTTGTACCAAGTACATGTACTTAGTACAATCTCTGTGGTGGCCCCATAGTAGATTTGATGTGAAGCGAACGTACATTCTGCCAGTGTTTCTTTAACAACGAAACAAGGAAATTTATCGAAAGATGAACATTTTGCACTAACTCATCAGGTGTCATATCAACGTGTCCAACAGCTACTGACAGACATAAAACCTGTAAAACAAAATTAAACATTAACAAACGTTATAAACGTTATGTGAATTAAGAAAAATATATAGATAAAAATGCACCTTTTTCATTTGAAACTTGATGGTAGCTTTGACTTCGTCGATTTTTCCGACCATTGATTCCTGGTGAGATAACAGTCCAGGGAATTTACCGGCTTTATTTAAACCAGGACCGAGAAGACGGGGAATTTGTTTGATCAAAGACTCACTCGCTAAGAATGCATCGTATTTCTTTGCTGCAAAGAAGAACGCAAATACATAAAGTATTATTCAATTTTAATTCTAAATAGATGTTATAAAGACTAAATTTTTAATATTACTGATAGAGATAAATTTTTAATATGACTGATCTCATTTAGAAAAAAATTTTTATCAAAATTAAATAATTTTTAAAGATATTTTAAGTATGTATGTAGGATTTTAATCATTTATTAATTAAAATAACTTTTCACATTAAGAGATTTCAAAAATATAAAATTTACAAAGATTGAATTCTTTCTAGTTGTCTTGTGTTAATAAAAAATTTTTAAAAAAATTTTTATTTGTAAAAAAGAACATTTTTATAAGGAAAAAAAAAAATCTTTTTTAGATCAGACATGTATCGACACGGATTGAGTTGCAATGCTACGATTCACATTGCCCTCACCAAGTGAAGAATCTTTAATCTCCTTCCTCTTGACGACCACCATTCTTATATGTAAATAATGATGGTGCTTTTGGGAAGGTAATAATTTTCCAATATTAGAATATAGAAAAATGATGTTACCAACATACCAAGTTTTTTAACGAGTTTCTTGTTCTTATTAAGTTTTTTCAGTGCCTCCGCATCCATATATGGAATATTGTTAGCTTTAGCCTCATCGCAATGCTGTTGATCACCAAGAACACATACTTGCATTTTTGGTCTGGGAATATTCTTCAACCTTAATATGATAAAAATCATTAGCAGCCAAAGTTTAAAAAAATATAATCCAATCTTCACAAATTTCCATAAATTTGTATTAAATTTATTGCAAGATGTAATTGTTAAAATAATTTTCATTATTTATAATGTAAAAGAGAGAAATATTTCAATATATATAATAATTAGAATTGTCCTCTCAATGTTCTCAGATTTAAATATTTTGCCACATATAAATTATTCAGATAATACATGCAATAAATAAAACATCACAGAATATTGATGACTTGATAGATTAATTAGGAAAATAATATTATACAATACAAATGGTATTAAATTTATTGCAAAATGCAACTATTTGGATAATTTTCACTATTTACTTTATAATATTATACTCTATATTATTATAATTGGCTATCAGAGAAATTATATTCTCTAAAAAATTTTTAGGATTAAAAAATTCTCTATTGAAGAATCCATCTCTATATTTAATATTCAACAATACATGAAATTTTCCTTAGTCAAAGTATAACTTACCATCAGGATCTTGCTCATGAGGCATGATCCTGTATAATTTAAGTAACGGTATAATTACCTCCCCAATTTATTTAAGACCCTGGGTATAGGTCCGCTAGGTAAAATCCTAGCTCCCTGACAAGATACATGAGGCATTCTTTACAGACTTTATATTCAATTTATACACTATTCATATTTAATGTACAGTATACATAATATTACAATTATTATTTTAAATCTGAAAAAATGCCTCAAAGTCAGGTAAGAACATACTTTACAGTGCCTGAGAAACGCTTGTCCTTTTGCGGATCATAGTTCTTCAAACCGATCTGAAGCTCTATAGTCTCTAAAAAATTTCTCTTCTTTTCTTGCGAATGTTGGAGCACACCGTTTACGCACTCGTAAAGAGTATCACGCGAAACCTTGGATCTGCAATTACAATAAAATAGAAACATGCATAGTTTTCCGTAAGATTCCGTAAAATCACTTCTATAAAAACAATACGCGTTTAATTAATTTGACGATTTTATTTAGAATCTCGAAAACATACATATAGTTAGTAAAATTAAATTTAATCGTGAACTGAAATAAATGCACGCTATATTTATGATGCTTCAATGCAACATATCGACATTGCAGAAAATGTCTCATAGATATTTTTCGGCCAAAAATAATATATGCTTGTCAACAAGCGCAATTCGATATATTTATTCGCAACAAATTGGCAAAGTTTGCATAAACGATTGCGAATATAAAGTTGGATTTTGGATACTCACGTCATTTTGTCGAATGGAGGATGACGAAGGCACAACTAACTTCTCGACAACCGATACCGGAAAGGAATGAACCGTGCAAGAAAAGTCGTGTCGCTACACTCGAGTGCAATGTATCTTAGATGGCAGCTCTGTATGTATCAGGTTAAAGTCACTAGATTAACAAAGGCCGGTAT